CATCACTTTCCGGTATCATTGCCAAGCAAAAATACTCAAATTTCCTTTGATCGATTTTCACGACATATGCACTCGGAGGCTGCACCACTAGATCGGCACCTACCAAATGGAATGTAATTATTGGAAGATTGGCATATCCCTGCCTTACTCCTTTTGGTCTTATGCCTATCATCCTAGAGAAGCGATTCACCAATGCTTGTTCCAAGATTTCGTATGCTGGTTTAATGTTATCCACGAGTAAGGAGCTCCTGAGGCAATTATGGTTTCCCCCACGGGACCTTTTCCAAAGAAAGGTTTCGGGTGGAATTCGCAAAGGTGTGCCTGCAACACTAATGTCTGTCAAGTTAATAAAAGTAAGCAACAATTAGACCAATAAGTGAGACAGGATTATGTTACATTTCCGTATTGCGAAAGTACAGATTAGTTGGTATATCTTTACCAAATCAGAGATATGTAGTGTGACAATGATCGTTAGGGGCAAGTTTTTGGAGGTAATATGAGAACCTGCCTGTGCTGTAGAGCCTAAATGCGTGACAAGGGATCGAGGCGACCATCCTAACTCTAATATACCCGCAACATTACCTCCCTCCTTGCCCCAGTGATCCATAACTGTCTGTTTAGTACCACACCCAAAAACAATGTTTGAAATCTTCTCTTTTTGGAACCTTGGGTCTGAATCAAATGTAAGGGTTTCTAATGCAAGCTCACCTTCAGAACTGCTACCACTACCGTACTCTTCATGGTACTAGCAAAAGTTTCCATGGCATATTCCACGACGGTAAAGGGGGTGGCTACCACAAGCAATTCTCCGATAAGAAGAGGATTGTGAATGATTAAAAATTGGTTGTCTTTACACAAAGCAATGGTGTCCTGGATCGTTACACCCTTGGCATTGGATCCATGTAAGGTCGCTTCCCGTGTCCATGAGAAGAAAGTAAGATATGGGTGATGACTTCTTGAATGTGCCTATGCTTAGTTTGGCAATGTTGTAGTTTCCAGTTGATGGTCAACTATTTGACGCACAACATTGGAAGAATAAATGTGATTGGCGGCTTGCAAACCTTGGCGGAAGTAGTTGGCGCGCGCTTTGGTTAGGAGAGTTTTCGAGTTCTTTTTTATTGTGTGAGGTTGGGTTGGTAGAAGGGTGATTCGGGGGAATCGTGGTGGATTAGCTTAATGCTCAACCCTTGTTTTGCCATGGTCACTCTCGGTAGTGATAAGAGTTGATGATAGGATGTACAGAAAGAGACATGTGATTGTGTTAGCCATATGGAAATTCGAAGAAATTATATGTTCAGCAATCTTTTTCTTGTGGAACTTAAACGCTGATTAGATTAATTGCTATATAGATTGAGGGTGATTGGGGTATGTTGGCCGTCACGTGAGGGCGACATAACCAAGTGCACAGTGCGGAATCAAGAAGGATAATAAAGAATTCGAATAATTAAAAACCAATTCATAAGAGTACTAGCTAAGGTAAGTGCTAGAAAATGTGTGAATTCACAAATCAGAGCATAAGTAGCCTAAGTTCAGTCCAGAAAATAAGTACTAATTAAACGACACCCAAAGATGTCCTACATTGTGATAGTTTGTCAGAACCTCTGTTCAATCCTCGTGAGCCACCAACGATCAGGCTTACCTAAAACCTGAAGGGGCGCAAAATAGAAAACGTGAGTGGGCAAAAACAAAGCTTTTCAAACTATTTCATTTATCAAATGCTCTAACCCCTCGCCGTAAAACATATATAATTTTTCCCAAAAATAGAATATAAATATATATATTCAAATCATGCTTCACATAACCACAAACATAAGTATGCCATGCCAAATATATAACAGAATGAGTAACTCAGGTGAAAATAAATTCATGGATATATAACATATTAGCCGGAACCCCTGCAAGGTCTATACGGCTGAATTCATTGCTCATTAATCAATCTAGCCGGAGTCACTGCAAGTGACCTATACGGCACTACATTGCACACGAGTCGAAACCACTGTAATGGTCTGTACGACAGGACTGGGTGTAATATAGTTATGCTCAATGCTACTCTCTCATGATAGTTATGCGATAAATTGCTAGTCACATATGAGTCGGAACCATCTATGATGGTTTGTATGACAAGAATGTGCACCTAAATTGGATCCAATGTCAGCATAAGGTGCGAGAGGTGACATTATAAACATGCATGTACCATATCTCTGACTAAATCACAATCACCCGGGATGCAGGTTTATGAGCTTTATGCTTCTCAATTAATCACAACCGTTATTCACATTCACAATTCATAAACTCACCTGGGCTTACCTGAGCGTCCACAACACTGCAATTATATATTATGCATCATATACTAATTCATATGCTGAATATAAATTTATATGCATGACATTTCAAAGCATACTTTCATTTAAACTCATTTTCTGGGAAAATATCGAGTATATAAATATATACTGAAAACCAAAAGCCCACTCACTGGTATGTCGAAAGGTCGTAGCCTCCGAGTCATCCTTGACTGCGCTTGTCCTCGGGATAAGTCTCCCCTATATGCAAAACAACTATAAAAATATTAATTTAAAGCACATAACCAATACTAGCTAATAACTTCTCATACATTGCTTAAATGGGATGTTTGAATATATCAACGTGATCTACACAACCTCACGAACATCCCCATATTTTTAGAAAAAATTTCTGACCACCCACACGCCGCCACGCACCGGCCAAGGCACGGCCAGACGCGCCCACACGCGCGGGTAACCCTGACGGAATCCTAACTGCAGTTAGGAATATTCCGTTAAAAAGTAACAGAAACCATTAATTCTACCTGACGGCGTTAGAATATTCCGTCAAGTTTGATGGAATATTCTCTGTCTTCTACCTTCGAACTCCGGTGACAGTTGCCGTCACCGGAAACTGGGAAAATCTTAAAATCCTTATATCTCTTTCATTTCTTAACTAAAACTCATGAAATTGGTCTCAATTTAAAGCTTATAACTAGAAGAACACATCCTTACCAATTTCAAGGCTTGAAATCCATGAAAACTCGCCGGAGAAAGCTCAATAATCCAGCAAAAACTTAAAACTCGTCGAACTCGATTTCCCAACGTCCAAATCGCTTGGTTTTTCTTCTCCAAGCTTCGCGAGGATGATTCAAAGCTCCCTAAGTTCTTAAAAACTCCTAAAAACCTCACATTAATTAGTGCATGAACAGTGCATGAAATCTGAGGTTAGAGTTCTCGGGGTTTTTGAAGCTTTCAAGTTCTAAAAATAGCATATACGAACTCAAAAGTTTGCAAGGAGTTCGAATCTTACCTTCTTGACGTCGATCCGCGTCTGAATGAGAGAGTTCGAGATTTGTCCTTACACTTGTACGGACGTAGCAAAAAAATCAAAAAGGAGAAGAGAGAGAGTGCACGGGGAAAGGTTGAGTGTGTGTGTCGGTGTGTGGTGGTCCTACATGGTCCTTCAATACACAAAACAAACATTTAAGTCTTAAGTGTTCCAAAAACTTAGGAAAATCTTTGAATTGGTCCAAATAAAACTTAACCCACATAACCACACAAAACGTCCAAGGGTAAATAAGTAATTTCACGCCGTCAAAAATAAATATTTCTGGACAGGCTGTGACAATAAAAAATTAGAATAAGTTTGTACCGATTAGTCTTTTAAAAAAATATTTTCAATTTTTTAATCTTATATGTACTCATTCATGTAATTTTTTCAAAATTTTAATCTTAAAATGTACCCATTCTTAAGATAAATCTGGTTGGTATGTAAAACAAGATTTAAAATTATGTTATAAGTTATCTTCCTAGCTAATTGATTTACTTTTAGGAAATTGTTATTGGCCTTCTAAAAATCTAATTATGCACTCTAAATTTTTGCATTTAGAAAGAGAAATACTCTTATAAAGAGTGGACAACTAATTTTTTTGTATGTCAATAATAAGAGTAAACTGTCGATTTGCCCCCTAAACTTTCACCGAACTTTCGATTTCCCCCCTGAACTTTTCGATTGGAAAATTTCCCCCCTGAACTAATTTTTTTAGCCAATTTGCCCCCTACCGTTAGTTTTTCAAATATTCCATCCAAATTTATGTTAAGTGAGACCATGTGCACAACATATGAGGGTAGTTAAGTCATTTCACTCTTAAAAATGATTAAAAAACTGAAAATAAATTTAAAAAAAAAAATTCCCTCTATTTTTTACCTCTACCGCCGATCTCCTTGTACCCACTATTACCACCTCCTCCCACCCCTGAGACCCATCAACCACCATATCCGGTCCTCCCCCTTCCCACACACAGAGACTCCTCCTTCCCCTCTCTATTTGTTATTCTACGAACAATGCAAGGAACGAAGAAAGTGGGAAGAGAGAGAGAGAGAGAGAGATTTGTGATGCAGGAAGAGGGTTGGGTCATTGGGGTTGCAGAGGGTGGGGCCAAATCAGGGAGTGGGGTTACGGTTGAGGGAGATGAGGGTAGGGGGAGGATGTCGTAGGGGTGGGTGATGGGGGTGCGGAAAGGAAGTGGTGGTGGCTGGGGTTTTTGTATTTTTTTTTTCTTTTCTTCGATCTGTTTTTGTTTAATCATTTTTTTTAATAATGTAAAATTACTAGAATGTTCATGCCATGAAGACAATAACACCGTATGTCATTTTTTATACATAGGAATGAGTGAAAAATAAAATTGAGGATATGAATTAGAGGGAAATTTTCAGTTTTTTAATCATTTTTAAGAGTGAAATGACTTAACTACCCTCATATGTTGTGCACATGGTCTCACTTAACATAAATTTGGATGGAATATTTGAAAAACTAACGGTAGGGGGCAAATTGGCTAAAAAATTAGTTCAGGGGGGAAATTTTCCAATCGAAAAGTTCAGGGGGGAAATCGAAAGTTCTGTGAAAGTTTAGGGGGCAAATCGACAGTTTACTCCAATAATAATTTGTTAGCAAAAAGGGGAAGCAAGCAAAATAATATGTACAATGCTCTATAGAACTCCACTCCAAAGAAATTATTTATATATGTAAGAGGTACAATTCCAGTCATAAAAATTATTATACATCAACATAAACATGTATATGCAACAACGGCCAGATATAGTAAGATTCATCATAAAACTAATAGGCAATATGGAGACTGGAGAGTAATCCAACTTATTTATAAGTCCATGCAAAGTCTCTTCTCCGTAAATGTGTAATGCACTCTCAACAATTACATTAAGGTGACTAACTAGCCATTTTCGCACTCATCTTTTTATTATTCTGCTTTACAATCTGAACAATTTTATAATTTATTTCTGCACTAACAAGACGAGTGGATGTAGCTAAAGAAGGAGTTTTACCCCTAGTAGCCGGAATAGATGCAAACCTTGGAATTCCGAAATGTCGTAAAAATAGTTGGTTTTCTCAGCTTAAGTGACAAGACCTCATGTCCAAAGGAAGGTTTGGCCACAAATTCTTTCCTTAAGTTCCCTTGGACTTTCACAACACAAGTAGTCTGGGATTTTCCATAGCTAGCCAAACTTTTAGTTTTATCCTTCCGTAATATTCCGTGTGCATCAATTTTCAAGGGATCATAAATTGCTTTGTTGATGTCAGGAAGCAATTTTGTTGGGGAGTCATATGCATTTGTAGAATTGAAAAACATCTGAAAGGCTTTGAGGCAGGAGAGGTGGAGTTTTTTGCATGCCTTTGGCATATCATCACCATCGATTCCATTAATCACCAGAGCCTGTTCTAGAAACTCTTTCTTCTTTTCATCCAATACCTTCTGTATAATCCCAATTGATTCTTCAACCCCTAAATTGGGATTTTCCTTCATGTGTAGCAGAACAAGGTTTGGCTTCCCCTCCTGTTGTTCCTTCTGCAATGAAATCATTCAATTTTCCCCATTAGTTAAAATTATACTAAATTAACATGGTGACAACTAATCAAGAATGTGGTCATTATGAATTTCTCGTCTGGGAGATATTTCGGTCTAATTATCCCATCACCACGTGAAGTTATCAATAATCGATTTATGTGTATTTATTTATTTTTGTCACAACATGTTTTATTAAAGATATACCTTGTGTGCCTAATGTAACAATCTAGTCGTTCACTACTATTATATCAGGTACATTAATAATATTATATGACAGTATGACGGTCCCAATAAATCATATACCTGATAGCTTTGAATTTCGTTCAAAAGCCGTGTCAAAAGCATAAGTGAATTTGTAAGTGGATAACTTTGAGGGGACTTGAGGATCTCTAATCCTGGAGGTGTATCAAGCAGAAGAGCAGCTGAAAGAAGAATAGTCTGTGAAGCAATGGAGCTTTTGGCTACTTGGAGGTACTCAACAATTGACAAGGGATGCCCATTTCTGCTCCATTCTGCTTCATTTAACCAGCTTACAAATGTTTGATGCCACTAAATTCATTCGGCAAAGAGAGAAAAGAAGATTAAGTAACACATTTTATTATTTTTTTACAATTATGTGAACTGAATTATTTTACCAAAAATCTTACTAGATCCTGAAGAGAACTCTTTATGTCATATCCATTTTGTTTGAAGAATTGCCAAGAAATGTCATCAACAAAATCTTTTAGAGCCTTGAATATAGCTTTTCCATGTCCATCCAGTCCTTTTTCCTGCCATCTGTGTGATGTACACATTTAATTAGTTAAAAATAATAACAAGAGTTACTTTAAATTTCTATACGTGGATTATATATTTCCGCTTAGAACATGCATGCGAGATTCAAAACATAACCCGTGCACACAATAATCATACATTAATATTTGACAAAAAAAAAAAAAAATCATACGTTAATATATTGTACCTCTCGACGGCATTGGCAAGAGCTTCCAATTCATTCATCGAACCTTCCTTGTCAAAAAAATCATCAGCAACTGTAACAAGAACTGCGGCTTTCACAACTGCGAGCCGTACATATGACAGGGAAAAATGTGATGCTGTTGAAGCAACTGCAAAATAACAGTACGCGGTTTTCTGTCGAGCAAACGCCATGTCAACAAGACCAATGTCCTTTGACCACCTGCATGATTAATTTTTCACCCACAACAGAAAAAGAAAAAGGTTTTCATGGTTGACTAATTCCAGTATTAAATTTTTAAAAAATGGAAATATAGAGATCGAGTGAGTACGAACCTTTCTAACTCCTTTAATTCATTTCTGAACATGGACTGCCGTAGTGTATAGTTCTCCATAGCAAGTTGTAGCAGCATGGCATTGCATTGACATGACAATCTGCAAGGTATTAATAAATTAAACTGCTTAATCAGTGATTTGACTGTCTTAATCTATTCAATTAATTAGTATTAATCTAATTACCTGCAGGATAAGCCCTTCCCTGTCCATGAACCAACAGGCTCTTTCCTCTCAATGAACTTCCTGTGCTCCAGATGATCCAACCGAGCAAGCCATGGAGTACCAATTTCATGCTTAATCTACTCAAGGGAGATATGCAACAAAATTAATTAGGAGATGATCATTAAATAACTAATTATAATGATTGAATATATTTTCTTATTGCAATTTTTATTATATTTATAGAAAACTTCATTTTAATCCTTAAAAAAGATGAGTTTTAGATTATAACCATATGTAAGATTAAAATCCAATTTTAGTCCCTAGCACATTTAATCATATCATTCATTAGTTGTATTTTGATGTTTTATTTTATCTTTTTATTTTTATTTTAATGTATTAATTACATTTAAATTTAATTTTTATTTCATTCATCAAAATATATTTTAATGTCTACGTTTAGGCAACTAAATTTTTTATAATATATATTCCGATAACAATTTTGTATGTTCATTTAGGTACATTAATACATTTGAATATTTTGGTATATCTATCGGTACAAACATGTATAGTTACATTGATTCAATATAATGCATTTCGATCAATATAATGCATTTCGTTACATACACTTTGATACACACATTTGATACATTAATTAAATTATTATTTCGGTAAATACATTTAGGTACATACATTTTGGTATTGATATTTAGGTACATACATTTTCGGTATTGACATTTAGGTTCGTACATTTTGGTACATACATTTCGGTATTGACATTTAGGTACATTAATTCAATATAATACATTTCAGTACATACATTTAGGTTCATTATAATATATTTCGGTATAATCATGTAGGTACAAATATTTTGGTACAAAAAAGTCAATTTTATATATTTTGTCACAATCATTTATGTACACTTATGTAGTATCTATATATTTTTGTATCACAATTTTTTTTTAATATTTTCTCATTTACGTTCATTTCTAATTAAAAAAATTAAATATGTGCATATTAATAAAATTAAAATTTAATATGGAGAGATTAAATAAAAATACACATTAAATAGAAAAATTGAATGTAAATTTTGATAAAAGTACACTCAAAAGATTAAATTGAATATTTAATCTAGCATCAGGTTTTTTTAAATTTTAATCTTTTACGAGAAATAATGTTCAAAAATCCCTTATATTTATTTTGAATAATATAACCTGGTCTTGCAAGTCATTCATACTAGTAGGCCCAACCAGATTCTTAGAATCTTTTAATGTTTCCTTTTCTAGTATTCTTTTAGAGAATTCCTTAACATCCTCAAGGTCACTTTCTCCTCTAAATGTCACATCAGTTGCCCTGTAGACATTATACATGGCACTCAGAAAAATTTCATGGTGCTCTTCTATGTACACCATTATATCTTCATCATGAAGGAACCAGCAGAACTTCCCTGCAAATATTAACAAATTTGGTATGTATATTAATAAATAAACTGATTTTTTTGATAAACAATATGACATATACAAAATTTTACAACGTATGTCAGAGTGTCACAACAGAGTTACAACATCATAACGAAACTAGAAACAACTAGGTTTCAAAGTCGTCACAAATATTATAATTTGAAAGCATGTACATATCAGCAATTAAGCATTAACTGATCCTTACGAGGAGATACTGTATAACCGTGAAGTCTGAGAAGTCGAAATGCGAGTGAATCTTTATATAGTTGTAATGGCATGGCGTGCTTTTCCTTGCTCTTTGGCTCTTCGCAGCTGATGTAACTTCTGGGTAAAAAAATTAATTAATTAACCAGATTAATAGTGTGCGTATATTGCTTAATGATGAATATTAGGTCGTCACCTGTACACTTGTCCCAGCATACTTGTTATCTCTGCCATGAAATGCTCTGCCAGTCCCAGCCTCTCAATCCGATTAACAAGACAAACCCTTAGAAGGTCTTCATCCATGGGGTAGATCGCTGGAACTGTACACGTATACTAGAGTTGTATTACTCTTTGAGTTCATGTGGTTAATTTTGTCAATTTTTTTTACAGATGCTAAAATAATCTACATTACTTGTAAATATGGGGAGGGATATTCGAACACGAGACTTTGGGTGCAAGGACGAATGTTGTTTAACCAACTAAGTTACAAACCACTTGTGTGGTTAACTTGTCATTTAATGATTTTTTTTTTTTTTGTTTGGTAAAGTGTATATCAAAAATTCTACAATGCTACCGAGTGTACGATAACTTAACTTTTTAAACGTGAGATCTTTATATTTATATTTATATTTTAAGAACAGTTTAACAGTTAAAAGAATAATATAGTATACTCAGACATATCTCGTGTGTGTGTGTACATAATAGTGTTATGACATTTGTACAGGTGACAGCACATTACGCTTCGTAGACCAAAAATCACATCATAGGAAGAAAAAAACAAAACATAAACAAACATTATTGGGAATCTGGGCAATAGTTGGAGTTGAATTGCATGCATGTATGTCCTACGTACCTGAGAACCCGCATCTCTTGACAATAGAATTCAATTTGGACAAGAACACCTTGCGTCCTGTCTTCATAAAAGCATATGCAATAGCTGATGGGGATTGGATTAACAGCTCATCTTCCTCACTTTGGCATAGTAGTAGAGTCTTATTGAGGTTAATATCATATGCTTCAGGCAAAGCTTCCAGGTATTGCATGAGTTCTAGTGAACAGTACTGTTGCTGACCACCACTTTGCACCAACCTGCCCAACGAAAACTAGATTAAATATTTAGGCGTCAATTTGATAAAAATTTCGACAAAAACTAGATTCAATAAGCTTTTGATTTGATATAGGAAGAAAGTGCGGCAGTGTGGGAGGAGGCAGAAATACACATGTAGTGCAATAGAAAATGAAAACCAAAACTAAAAAAGAAAATCTATGATAAAATTCTTTTCTATGTTTAATTTTCATGTTGTGTATCATTTAATGTGTATTTCTTCCATGTTCTACCCACCATTGATTAATCACCTATCCTTATTCATCCCTAATTTCTTTCTTGTATTTTATCTTTATTTCTAAATAGATTATAAAAACAAAAAACTATATATACCTATGCATTTGGAATATTTGTTGTCTCTTTTGGAAGACTTGTTCTACCAGTGCTGTTGAACCATGAGAAAAATGAACATGCAGTCCTTTGCTCTCTGCAAGTTCCACCATTGCTGGGAAAACAATCACAAACCACTCAAGAAAAGAATTATTTTGCTCTTCCAGTAGCTTCTCTGTACTTGCATGGATGAATGCCAGCCCTAAACAATAAACATAGGAAAAAATCGTAACAACCAATTATTCCAACTGCATAAACGGGTATTTTCGACAGTAAATTTTTCCGGGGTTTGCGAAATTTGATCAACTACTTTTTTTTTTTACGTACCTTTCTGAATGGCATCATGGCCAACATCCCATGTGGCAAGTGCAACAATGCAAGCAAGAGTTGAAGTGAGGGACTCTATGGTTGGAACGTGGTCATCATCTCCCCAAAAGCCTCCTGTGGTTTGGTGTTCGACCACCCAGTCCAAGCATCCTTTGAACAAGGGTTCATCTGATCCTCGGTGAGGATTCGGAATCATTGACAGCCACGCAATGTCGTAAGGAGAAGGAGGAACAAGAGAAACAAGATCAAAATCAGGTGAAAACAATTCCTGTTTAACTTTCATTACAAGATTCTTAACCATAGTTTCTTGAGAATCCATGCGATATTGTGTTTTTAGATACTGACACACTCACAGATACTTAGGTACGTACACTTGTTTTTTGCTTTTGTTATGTCTTGCAGATCAAGCATATAATTTCTGTGGTATTTATAGAGAGCTACAAGCATACACAAACTAATTTCCCGCGTGCGTAAACCAAAAAATATCATACACTACTTTTGTTCTCAATACAATGTTTCGAAACAATTGTGGCAGTCATTAGAGTCAGTTGAAGTCAACCCATTTGGTACATAGTTCACAATGGCATTCCGATAATAACACCACTACATGGATACATAGGTTTCGTTTGGAAATACTTTTAAAATGACTGAAAGCATCTTTAGTGGAAACATTTTTGAAATCAATTATTAATAAAATCTCAAAGATCAGATATTTTGAGAAATGTTGTTGTCACGCTCTCAGACTATCAAAGACTAGAGCTAAAAAAACCATTCGACCATGTAAGAGGGGGCTAAAAAAAGAGAGAAAAAGAGATATGTAAGGCCATCTCCAACCGAATGCTGGCTAGATAGCTCGTTTTAATCCTCTGTCCCTCCAAGAAATTAATATTTTAATGAACAGTACATGGTCATATTTGCCTCCATCTCCAACCAAGGGCTATATGGCTCGTTTTAGCCTTGTCACAAAAAACTATCTCCAACCAAGGGCCAAACATAATTTATTATTTAAATTTATGTGAAGAATTGAAATAGAATGAAGTGAGATAGTATGGATGGTGAAAATTATGTGAGAAATTGTGTATTTATAGGAAAAAAAAAAGAATTTTTTAAATTCATAAAAAAATAAAAAGGCCCAAAAAAAAAATTCCTACCATTCCTATCGGATATAACCGACAATAAATAAATACAATCCTGTCAGATATAACCAACAGGAATAATGCAAAATCCAACCCTGCCGATTGGCCCTTTGGCCTTTTCAGATTCTATGGGGCCCATGAGCCCTCTAGCCTATCTCTCTGTTGGAGACGATTTTCGGACTATTTTCGGCCCTTCGGTTGTAGATGGCCTAAGTAGTTGAGCCTTTTTCCTTCTTTTTCACCATGAATTGACCCCATTCATTGCATTTTTTTTTGCTTTAAAATGGCTTTGTTTGGGCATCCTATCCCATTTTTTTCATTTTTTTCTTCATATGAGGGGCCAAAAGCACTTTAATCCATACTAAAAGCATTTCTAAACGAGCCCATAATCACTTTGTTAGATTTAGGTTTTCTTCTCGTCGTGACTATTTTGACTTCTAGTACAACCCAACTGAAAATGTATGCTAAACTTTCTATCACACCATTTGAATTAGTATAACTCATTAATCCACGAGCTAGCCACGAGTTTGAATTTCACGAATCTAAGATATAGTATACTAAATTATATAAGACTTATTATAGCATGAGTTAATTTAAAACACGAAACTCCCAATTAAAACAAGTTTAGTTCTAAATTCTAGTTCTCTCCTATTTTTTTTTTCTTTCCTTCCAATTAAAACAAGTTTAGTTCTATTTAGTTCTAGTTCTCTCCTTAATTTAGACACGGAACTCTTAATTAAAACTGTTACATGTAGAAAAGGTCGCTCCACATTAATTTAGTGATTCGACCGATCAAGTCATTATCTTCTCTCGCTGGCATATGTCAATTTTTGTGTGCGTGTGTGTAGTGTTTATTCAAGACCGGACACAGTATTAGTACCCGAGGGCCTGACAGAGGCATGTTAATCATGATTATTAGAAAAATCTGCGCCGGTTCTTTCTTCGTGCTTCTTGGTCAACAAGCATACTAGTACAATTATAAGTACTTCCTAATGAATTAACCTACCTAACTTAATACGCTTGTAACCTGCAATTAGTGCCGTTTTGTATTTTTCACAAAAATAAAATAAAAGTCGATGCCCGAGGGCTAAGGGTATCTGGCCTACATATATCTGGCCGACATATATGGATTTTTCAACGTGGTAACACTTTATTCTGTGTGAACACAAGGTACAACGTAATGTAGCAGAGTAGACACGTAGTAGGAGGCTAGTACTAGTGACTCCATAGTCATGACATTCGATTTTGCCTCAAGGGTAACATTTGATGTTAAAATTAAAAAAAAATGTTATGCTTACTGTATGGAAATGTATTTTTCATACGATATATGTACCATCTTTTTAATATAGATAGAATGGACATGTGTTGGTGGGTCAATATCTTAATTAGAGAGGTGGGACAAATATAAGTGCAACATTACTCTTATGAATAATCTTTTCAATTTCATTTCAAATGCAATAGAGAATGTATTCAATTGAAATTTTGAGAGATTTAACAGAATTTATGAATTCTTGGATTTTGATGGAGTTTAATTGATTTGTAGAAATTCTACATAAAATTTTGATTCAATTCGTTTGAAATCTCAAGGGGGAGGTGAGATTGTGCATTCTTCAAATACGTTATGAAATCTCTCCAATTTCTTCAAATTCCTCACCTTTTAAAAATAAATCCCTTTTTTTTAATAAACGATTTTATCTACATTAAGGGGGTGAAGGGTGGGCTTAGCTTCATGGTGGGCTAGCAATAGTGTGGTTCATATTCACATTCGACGAGAATCAAACCTAAAAATTCTCATTTATAAGTGTAAAGAAATACCACTAGACTGTTGAACTAAGTGGTAAATAAACGATAAATCATTAATTGAATACCTCTGAAATGTTATAAACTTCTTTAAAATTCTAATTGAGTACACTTAGATTTTTTAAGTATTTTAATAAACTATCATAAAGTTCTGATTGAATACACATTAAATTTTAAAGAAACATTTAATATTCTAATTAAATATTCCTCAATTTATTAAAATAATTAAAATTCTTTAAAATCCCTATTGAATATGCCTCACTTTACTTGATAATTATTTTGTTCTCAATTTTTCTAACTTTTATGTACTAGAGGTATGATAGCTAATTAAGTATACCCAAGTATAGGTACGTACTTAGTGGCCATAATAGCGGAGATCGATTAAATGCACAAAAGCATACCCAAAAATAAGTACTTTTCTGAATATGGAAGTGGTCCTTGATTTATGGCCACAGTTTTTATAACTATATACATCACTAGAATTTAAAAAAAAAAAAAAAAAAAACAGTTGGTGATTTTGCCATAGAAGTTCACCTTTTTGAGGATCGAAAAATCTCACGCAAGCATTTTAGTCTTCGTTGGCTACTATCATGCAATTCACTAATACTAAGACTCATTACCAACCACTGGACCACCCCTGCTATAGTTATATACATCACTAGATTTGTTTTTTTTTAACAGCGATATTATCTAGACTAAAGGAGAAAGAGATGGTTTAAGCTTCATAATAGGGTTTCAATAGTGAGAATCGACTTAAAACTTTTCATTTATAAATAAAGAAAAATATCACTACACTTAAATTAAGTGTGTGTGAATCTGACATTTGCAGGCGGCCGGAAAATGCGAGGATTGAGACTTGACATTTGCGGGCGGCCGGCCAATGCGAGGATTGAGAATAGTGCAAAAGGCAGTCTTAATCATGTTGAAGGAAAAGTCACAAAATGTGACTAGCTACCGTCTGATTCATTTTATCTTTTGCTTGCGTCTAAAGTCTCCTATATATTTTTCAGCGTGTGTCGTGACCCATGATTCCATGTGGGCTAACTGAAGGAGGAAGTCCAACAAAACAACTCCAGCCCATCCAAATCAGCAGGGCAATTCGGTGGGTCCAACCCCCTAAACCAAGTAATCAGGCCATTCTCGCCCGCCTGTACACCTAAAGCGATATGACGTCAGGCTGACGTGTAAGGGTGACTTCAGCATGACGTTAGTCACGGAAGATGTCGTCTTCACAACCATTTTCCCCTTTCTGCAAAATCCCAAAAACCCAATACTTATAAAAAAATAAAAAAATAAAAAAAACCCAAATAATTACAATCACAAATAAGGATGGGCGGGGTTCGGTTTGGTGCGGTTTTGAGTGAAACCAAAACCAAAACTGCAAGTTTTTGCTGTTTGGTTCAGTGCGGTTTTGAGGCTAAAACCAAAATGAAACCAAACCATTTGGTTCAATTCGATTTGATTTCAAACGGTTTTGGTTTGGTTTTATTATTTGAAAAAACTATTATGGTTACCTAGTTGATGACAACAAAACTCACATCCACCACAACAAAATAATTCAACTTGAGGCAACCAAAGTTAATAAATTCATGTTCACAAATCCAAAATACAAGTGCAGTTTGAAGAGCACTGCCCCAAATCGGTTCAAATTCAGGAAGAAAGCCAAAGCCTTCCCACAGAAAGTCAGACTGTAATTGTAGATGAGATTGTCAAGGATTTGCCCAACAAGCGATCTGCTTAATTACTTCCTTGCCTCGCTACATCACAAATTCATGATTGGCGTAAGTTTAGGGTCTGATACCATCACAAATTCACATTACCTAGTTGATGACAATAGAATTCATAGCACAACAAAATAATTCTACTAAATGAAAATAACCAATTAGAATTTAACATTTAATAAAGGTATGCGGCTTCGGTTTCGGAGGGCCGGAACCGAAACCAAACCATTTTCCCCTATTCGGTTCGGTTTCAAATTGAAACCGTTTTGAAACCGCAAAACCAAATCGTTCGGTGCGATTCGATTTGGTTTGTGTTTCGATTGCGGTTTTCGGTTTCAAGTGCCCACCCCTAATCACAAAATCCAATTCATTTTCATAATTTCTGCAAAAACAAAAAACAGAAAAACAAAATCGAGAAATAAAAAATCCAAGAAACAATGGAAATATCATACATCGTGTGAATCGTGGGCAGGGGATTGGACTGGTAAAGAGCAAGGAACAGGAAACAGGCACTACAACGAAGTGTCTGAATCTACAAACCTATTTGAATCTGAATGCAATCACAGAGCAGGAAACAAACATTGCGTTGCAGTGTTCGAAAAATGGAGGTTGAAGGTGGTGGGAGGCGGGGAGGTTGAAGTCTGAAGGTGGTGGGAGGCGCGATTTACAATGAAGGAGATGGAAAAGTTTGGTGTTTTAAATGGTAATGGCATCATTTGTAATT